ATAGAATTAAAATAATAATAATAATAATAATAAAATCAGAATAAAAAATTATTAAAAATCAAGGACCTATTCAAATTTCGTAAGTACAGATGATAACCGATGTATTTAGAAGAAATTTTATACAACTAAAGAAAAAATTAGGTTTAGCGTCGTCTTCTAATTTTTCATGCTTTCCGTTATGAAGTTGAAAAGAAAGAAAGAAAAAATCTGTTTTTGACTTGTTTATCGAGGTGACCCCACACTTATAAATAGCCCACACGAATCGCCCAAATTTCGGGCGATCGCAAAGGTCAATGGAAAGGCCTCGCTCTGGAAGAATTTGGTGCGAATTTTAGTAAATATAAATTTCTTTTATTTTGGGGTGAATTAATATTTTGGGGTGAATTGACAGAAATGATCCTAAGAGGACTATTTATTTGATCCTCTTCTGAGGATCTTTTTCTATTAATTAACTCCAAAATATAAACGAACAGAATACATAAAAAAAAAGAATGGAAAATCATCTCTCAAAGTGCAAAGAATGCTGACGAACCTTTAAGGTTGTAATGAAGCTTTATCCAAAGCAATTCGGCCAGCGTACATATGCGAGGTTCGACTACCACCTCTTGTAGTAGAGGCTTTCGAAAAGGTAACAAATGTGTTTGCTATCGCCACATTAATTAATCAACTGACGGAAACTTTCAAGATAATCACGTTTGGTATTATGAAGTCGAGTTTCATTTACATTCCATTCACGTCAGCTGCGTTTCACTCGCTTTGTCACTTTGATTATCAATATGCAACCGTTTTTCGCAAGACAAGTGATGTTTGGACAAAAATTTGTTTTATGCTTGCATGAATTCGTGTTTTTAATATATAATTTGAAGAAGGCAGACATAACTGTCAAAATAATTTTGAATATTGTTAAACACTGTCATTTCTTTTCCTTATCTGGAAATCATGCTCGTTAGGATGCAGTGTTATTATAATAAAAGTAATAATAATAAAATTTTACTAGCAGTGTTACGGGTAACATTAACACACAAGTTTCCCAGAAGATAGCCATACTAGGGACATCCTATATACCCAAGAAAAGTGATATCAATTAAATAACAATTCTCCTATAAGGCCTAAGAACCATAGTTTGTATCCGACTCCACATGATACAAAACAGGAAGCATAGCATATAGATAACATATGTAAGCAAATATATGGATATAGATCCGACGTGATCATATTTAAACGGAACGCTGATCTTATATAAAAATTTCAGTTATCTGTTTGGATTAGTTGTGCTCTTATGTCCATCGTCTTTTGTGTTAAATTTTTATATGTTCTAATGTTAATTATGTTTAAATGAAAATGTCCATGAAGATGGTCTTAAATAGACCGAAACGTCCGACGTTGACTTTATATTAACATTAATACAGTATAATTGCATATTAAGATTTTTGTTTGTTTTTTTCTGTATTTTTCTTCATAGATAACATATACAAATAATAATAATAATAATAATAATAATAATAATAATAATAATAATAATAATAATCCACTGGGACATGCCAATTCAAACTGACAGGGAAATAAAAGCCAACAGACCTGGTATTATCATAAAAGACATGAAATTCAGGAAGTGTATTCTTATTGACATAGTAGTACCATCTGAGAGAAACAACTCCATGAAAATTATCGAGAAATTGTTTAAATGCCTGAGATTAACAGGAGGTGGAGAATGAAGACTGAGACTGTGCCAATAGTATTCGGAACACTGGACCTCGTGACAAAAAGAATGAACAGTTTTACTAACAGTGTCCCAGGTAACATCAACATACAAGTTGCCCAGAAAAATACTCTAATAGGAACATCCCATATTCTAAGAAATATGCTATCAATTGAATGACAATTAGGGCCTAAGGACCGTAGTTTGGACCCGTCACTACAGGATACAAAGCAGGAAACATAGCATACACAAATAATAATAATAATAATAATAATAATAATAATAATAATAATAATAATAAGGATAGCACACGCATATAGAGTGCGATAAATGGACAGATATCAATATTAATGAAGCAACCGCTGCCATCTACAAAAGCAAAAAATGGAAAACACCAGGAATAGGCCGAATAGCCAATTTTTGGATAAAAAAGCTATCTAGCACACACAATATCTCGCACGAGCATACAATTATATAATCATAAACCCAGAAAACTACTACAAGTGTCTCAGGTAGGGAGTAACGTACCTACTCCCTAAAACAGAAGAGACGCAGAACCCGAATAACTATAGACCCATCACCTGCCTACGAACAATATACAAAATCCTCACTTCCATCATAACCGAGAGGACATACAACTTCCGTGAGAAAACAATTTACCACCAGCAGAACCGAAGCGATGTAAAAGCGGAAGTTACGGATGCAAGGACCAATAAATTATCATTAAAGCAATATTGGAAAAGATGAAAACAACTTTTAAAAAAACTTATTAATAGCATGGATCGACTACAGAAATGCGTTCGGCAGTGTACTACTACACTCATGGATAGAGGAGAACCTAAAAATATACAAAGTCTCCCCCCACAACGGGCAAATTCATAACGGAGAACATGAAAAATTGGAAAAGTACACTAAACCTAAACCATACAAGCGGGTCATTGACATCAAGACCAATGAACATCAAATCGGGATCTTCCAAAGAGATTCATTGTCACAGCTACCCACTGAACAACAATATAGCTACGGATACAAGTAAGAGAATTGCAAATCACCCATTCTATATCCTAAAACGTTTGCCAAGGATGACAGTCAAAAGAAAAACTTATTCAGCATTGTCAAAATCTTCAGCGAAACGGGATGGACTTCGGAATCGATAAATGCTCCAAAACCACCTTAACTGGAAGTAAACTAACGAAAACTACGGATTTAGACCTTGCTATCAACAACAAGATTCCGTCCTGGGTATGACGATAAACTACACCCGCGTTCTGGGTAAGAATCCTCCTCTTCTCCCCCCACCACCAAGCTATGGGTAAATACCAGGACATCCCGGGTTCTATAGCCTTCAATAGAAACTGGTATACCGCATACAGAAATGGCAGCCGACTGCAGGAAAAAATCTGCCTCGTCAGTCATGTATCGAAAGATACATGATCGCCTAAGCGTGTATCACACATGGCACATAACTCATTGATTGTACATCTTACATACCGCACGGGGTAAGACGATAAACTACGAACAACAGCAAGGCCTCTGATCAGGAGGTTTTGAGGAGCGTGGAACCACCTTTTCATTGCTGGTAGCACTTCTTTGTGTCCCAGCTAAGGGCGAATATTTAATCCCTAACCTGGGAATTAAACGCCATCAAAGTGTAAAAATAGGTTTTAATATCAGGTATAATTTTTTGTAAAAAATATAAGCAGAAATACATTATTACTAGTAATACTTTTTTGGGGAAAAAGTTACCAGCAATAAAAAAAATGTCGGCATTAAATAATCTATTGATGTTGGTATGCCGTAAAACAAAACAAACAAACAACAACAAAGTTAAGGAACTAGTCCAAGATAGTATATACAAATACTTATGAATTAATGAAAGGGGCGGAACATTCAATTATGAAGAAAAAGATCCGAAAAGAATATTATAGAAGACTGCGTTTTTAATACTAGAAAGCGAACAAAATGGGGCCAATAAAATGGCGGATATCAACATCTTAGCTATACCCGTAGTAATATACAATTTCAACAGTATTAAATGAAAGTTGAATGGCATTAAAAGATTGGACGCCAAGACCAGAAAAATGCTTACCCAAATGGGGATGCAACATCCGAAATCAGATGTTGATAAGATGTATATACCATGAGCTTTAGAAGGTCGAGGTCTAATCCAATTTGAAGTTATTCTAAAAACAACAATAGAATTGGTAGCCTGCCTCACAAAAAAGCAATGATCCTCTTCTACAAATCGTAACACACCAATTCCACTCCTTCAAATAGAAGCTGCACTCTTCTAGAAACAGCTTGATATCACTGAAACCCTACCAACAAAAAAATGAAGCGAATGCCATCTTCGCCAAACGAGTAAGACAGAAATCAAAACAAGTTCGTCAAAAGAAATTACAAAAAAACAAAAACAACCCCCCCCCCAAAAAAAACAACTGGGAGGACAAGCCGTTGCATGGCAACTATCTGAAAAGAACGAAAGAAGCAGATGTGAACCAACAGAAAATACATCAGTGGCTGAGGAGCACCGAGTTGAAAGCTGAGACAGAAGGCCTAATTATTGCAACACAGGACCAAAGCCTCGCAACCAGATCCAATCACTGTCACATAATCAAGGATGCAACTAAACCAAAATGCAGGATTCGTGGAAAGTATTTGGAAACTGTCGACCATTTTATCTCAGGATGTATATACCCACTAACATAACAAGTTAGCGATATATGTGCCCTGAAAAATATGCAAAAAGCACAAAATCGAAAGCACTGAGAGAAGGTATAAGCACTAACTAGACACAGTTACCCAAAATAACGGTGTAACTATCCTCTGGGACATGCCAATTCAAACTGAGAGGGAATTAAAAGCCAACAGACCTGATCTTATCATAAAATGCAAGAAATTCAGAAAGTGTATCCTTATTGACATAGCAGTACCATCTGAGATAAAGACTGAAGGAATTCCTGGTAGACCATGCCTTAAAGAAATACCAAAAATTATACTCACAAGTAAAGACCACACCTTACGAAACGTTTTATCTATGTAAAAGATGCGTGATTTTTTTTTTATCAAAACTGATCAGTGGAAAATGTCATGATGCCATATCTGACCTTAGGTCTCTGGTCGGGACCCGGAAAGAAATGAGTATACGCCAGGAACCAAAGGAAATAATAATAATAATAATAATAACTTGGCATAAAAGTGATGAATATGATATTGTTGGGATTAATCCTGATGAAGCCAGAAAAGAAGCAACAGCGGTTTCTGCAATGCTTAAAAAAATATATAAAACTGCAATCATATTTTAATCGGGAGACGGAAAGTGAAAAAGAAAAGAACTTGAAAGGTTCATGAAAGGAATATTGAACCTTTCTTCTTTTGAATATTCACTGAGTGGAAATGTAATTAATAAAGAACAAAGCGTCTAGAAGCAACAACAACAAAAACAGCAGCAACAGCAACAACAACAACAACAATAACACTAATGGTAATAATAATGATAATAATAAAATCTGGTGATGAAGAAGAAAAAGATGTAGAATGATTTGTCGCGCTCCCATCGCTAAAATGATTTTAATAAGGGTACAAACAACCAAACAATCTCTTTGTGCTCTTATGTAACAAAAGCTCGACAATCACAACAACAAAAGCAACAACAATAATAATAAAAATAATAATAATAATAAAAATAAGAAGAAGAAGAAGAAGAAGAAGAAGAAGGAAGTGGAAGAAGAGGAGAAAACATTTGCAGAAGAGAAATTTATAATGTGACGCCATTATATCATTAATTTTAACGAGGAAAAGAAACAAACGAGCTCTTTTTTCTTGTACTGTACAAATCAATGGAGAACAACAACAACAACAACAATAATAATAATAATAATAAAAATGCGAAGTAGAAGAAGAACTAAGAGAATCATTAAAACATTTGTTGCGCCGTCGCCATTTATTATAAATAATATTAATCATAAAAAAAGAAAACAGACGGACTTTTTTGCTCTTACACTAAGAATAACTGAAGCAACAACAACAACAATAAACAACAATGATAATAATAATAATAATAAATACAAGAAGAAGAAGAAGAAATCAATTGGCCTCCGGGTTGATTTTGCCAGAATATAGGACGTTCGAGCCATTATTATACTAGTTTCATTGGGGCGTTGTGGACAATATCACCGAAGTTAAAGTCCTACATTAAGAAAACTGGAATAAAGCTTAGTATTGAATCGCTTCAGAAGTGTGCGTTGCTTGTTACTGTAAATATTCTACGAAATATGTTGTCTGAGGTGGTACGACCTAATGGAGAAAACCCATAATAAAGAATGTCCTGGGTAAGACAATAAACTACATCCAGCAGCAAGGCCTCTGATCAGGAGGTTTTGAGGAGCATGGAACCACCTCTTAATTGCTGGTGTTCCCAGGTCCACACTGACCGGGGGTGTTAGAACCTGTTAGAGTCCCAGCTAACGGCAAATAGTTAACCCCTAAACTGGGGTAAAAACACTATGAAAGTGTAAAAATAGGTTTTAATACCAGAAATACTTTGTTAAAAATTATTACCAGCTACATTTTTGAAAAAATAAACTATAAATTTTGAAGAAAAATTTCGACAAAAGAAAAAACCAACAAAAAACTATTATGTAAAACCAAACAATAATAAAGATCTCTGGTTGAAAGGAAACCGTACCCCGGAAGAAGTGAAAATACATTTTTAATAATAAAAAAAATAAGACCAGAGTCTTTTACTAGGAATTTTCAGCAAATATCATACTATACATTTTTGAAGAAACAAAAAAATCAGGATTACCAGAAATAGATACTTACACTGGACAATTTTTGACAAAAGAGAAAATGTACTAGGATTACCACACAAAAAAATTTGTCGGCATTAAATGAAACTTGCCATTGATCTTGATATAACATAGCAACCAAGAAATTTGTCAAAAACAAAAAAAAACCAATCCAAACCATAATAAAGATCTCTGGTTTGAAAGGACAAAACCGAAAATTGCGGAACTAAGAACTTTGTCTATGTAATAGCAAAATCGGAGATAAAAAAAAAAAAATAATATTAATAATAATAATAATAATAATAATAATAATAATAATACGAGTTGTAGGTCGAAGAACGTAAAGCCTATAAAGTCTGTACTCTCGTGATTATAAATCAAATAAGGCTACCTCTATCCCATTATAAATGTTACAATGCAGAAGAGCAACCAGGGTTCAGAGGGGTCACCAGCGGTACCAATAAGATGCCCCCCTCATACAGCAAATATCTCTCTGGAGTGACTGAACCAGAATTTACCCAACCAATTCATCAACCATAAATGCAAAACTGAGTGGTCTCCACATTCCGCAGACCTCACCCCACCTAGATTTTTATCTGTGGGGGAATGTGAAGGATCGAGTCTACAGGAACAACCCCCACACCATCCCAGAGCTAAGGGCAGAAATCACTCAAGAAATCAGAACTATCCCAAAAGAAGAGTGCATCAAAGTCATTGACAACTTCGCCCGTAGAATTCAAGTGTGTCTTCAGCAGAACGGGGCAGATTTGAAGCATATTCTATAAATGACGATAAAATCTTTGCCAGTAGAACTAGTGACATGTTGTTTGTAGCAGTAGATTTGCTATCTTCTCAAGTTTTCAGTAATATATGCTTTGTATATCGTTTATAAACAAAAAAAATGGCGTTCACATTTTTGGGATACCTTTATTCTGGGACATCCTATAGAAGCGTGGATTTTCAGAAGAGTGTTTTAAGAACATTTTCGGATTCATGTCAATAAAAAAAAAT